GGGGTTGTCAGACCGATAACGGTAGGTTTTGCCAGGGACAGACTTTGGGGGATTACACAGGATAGTAACAATGAAGCAAAAGGAAGGGAAGAGGAGAGCGCACCAACCACTTGCAGAATGAGGAAGGGTTGAGTTCTGGAGGGGAAATATGAGTTAATTTTCTTTTTCTAGAAAAGATGCACTTTTTTATCCCCCAAGGAAGAAATTAATATTGCTCTTTTACCAGTTTCTGCGAGACAAAGATTCGTACAAAGCGTCCTATCACGGGCTGATGAAGTGAAACAAAGGCAACAGCGGAGCAATAGAGCACAGGTTACAACAATGAAATGGCACAAATTTAGTATATAGGAGAATAACAAAAATCAACAAGAACAAGTCATTCTGAAAAGTTCTCACAGATAGCAACAATGAGAAGAAGAACATTGAACAAATCTCTAGTTGACTCACTATACTAGTAATCAATGCAGCTCTGAGTAACTTTCTCTGACACTGAGTTATGGACATATAAATTGGTCATGCAAATAATACCTAGGTGTGGAAAGGAAAAGAGAGATGGATGGGTGGAGAAACGAAGAAAATAAAACAAATGTGGAAAGATCGTTCCCACCTGACAACGGCACAGTGACTCAAAGCAAGGAAAGGAGGGGGGGGGACGAAAAAGGGGAGGGGGGAATGGAAGGTAAACGAAGAAAATAATAGCAAACGTTGAAAGATCGTTCATACCTGACAATGGCACAGCGACTCAAAGCAGCCAAGTTGTCGCACGAAGGTCGCGAGAGGCTGGATTGTCTCCCCATCCATCTGACACGACTTGCAGGCAGAGTTCACTGCGTGGATTCCTGCCCCACCACGTGACTCACCGGAGTTTGTCACGGACACTTTGCCGGACAGGATGGAGCTAGATCCACAGATGTTCCTGGTGCGGTCAGGTGGACACGAGTGAGTTCCATTGCAGAAGCAGTGGCAGTTGAGTTGGTTGCAGTTCCGATTGAGCTGAAAGTCCCGACCCCCGATAAAAACGTCGTCTCCGATTCTACAGTCCTTGCAGCGTCTTGCGGCAGGGCGACCAGGCGAATCGTCATCTCCGCAGACGTTCACGTTGTTCTCCGGGGGACACGTCCATTGCCCGTTACAATGGCAGTCGCAGATTCTCTGCGTGCAGCCTTCTCTCAGCATGAACTTGGACTTGGAAGGATACGTCACTCCGGACACCTCACAGTCGTAGCAAGTCTCGGGCACTAGGGGTCGTTGTCTGTGGGAGGTGCGGGAAGTCACGTGTGTCGCCGACTGGCCCATTTTGCCTACAAAGTTGATCTGAGAGTCTCGCACAAGAGACTGTTTCGCCACGTACTTGTTCTCCCGCACGGTCAGGGGGTCGATGGCGTTTCCGCGAGACGCTCTGTTCACTTTTGGCGGACACAGATTCTTGGGCTGCTGAGCCGGACACGCCCAGCCGCCATCACAGTTACAGGAACATTGGTATTCGAAACATCCTTGTTGGAGAGAGAAGCGGGACTCTCCAGGGTACTCAGTGCCTTGAACCATGCACTTGCGGCATCCAGATGTGTGGGGAACGGTATCGGGTTCAAACCCCGGGGTGCAGGACAAGGAGAGGCGTCCGGCACATTTCCAGGAGCCGCCACAAGAGCAGTAACAGTCAAACTCGATACAGTCTTTCTCAAAACTGAAGGTCTGATTTCCTGGCCTCAGCTGATTCTCGATCATACACCCTCCACAACTCTCGCCAGAGTTCTCCACTAGACCGAAGGAGATACCTCGAGAAGATCCAACACCCGTAGTGAAACCTCCACCTCCTGTAGCCACACCGTGCCCACTACCCCTGGAACCACTAGCCGGGTGTACTGGAGTGTGATAGACAACAGGCCCACTGGCCTGGCCGTTACAGTCTGTACAGGTGGACATGTAGACAGCCCTCCCAGAACTGGTGAGATAACCTCGGCTGGTAGCTGGCACCACACCGGCAGACACCGGGTAAAAAGAACCAAAAGTCTGTGGACCTTGTGGGGCGCCCTGCGTACAGCCAGGCACGGGCTTGGTAGTGTGGCAGTCGTGAGTTCCGTCGCACTTACAGTCGCATTGTTTCTCATTACATCCTTCTCTCACTGTGAATCCCATGTTACCGGGGAAGACCATGCCGTCATAGAGACAGTTGCTGCACGTGTTGTCTCGGTTGTTTGTAGAGCAGGCATTGTCAGACACCAGGCGGCAGCGGTAGGAGCCACTGCACAAGCACTTGCATTTGTAGATGACACAGCCGCGGCGCATGTCAAAGTTGGCCCCAGCCGGGTAGAACTTCGAGTCCGATTGGCATCTCTGACACTCCTTGATGCCCCCTCCGCTGCCACTCGCTGAGCTAGACGGTGACTCTCCAGCAAATGAAGAACCCGAGGAAGAAGAAGAACCAGAAGACGATGAAGAGGAGGAAGAGGAAGATATTCCAGACGTAGAGAATACTGTTGAGCTTGATGTTCCATAACCCGGACTTGTTTTTGCTCCCAGTGCCGCCAATTGCTGGGCTTTGGTTCGTTTTCGGCCGAGTGCTGTGTATGTGGGCAGGTATTTTGTGTCGATCTGGACGGCGTAACCTCCACCCGTGCGACCATCTCCGGTATGCACTTGAGTGCGGTTTACGCCGTCGACCAAAACCCAAGTTGAGGAGTTCACATTAGTGGATGAAGAAGACGATCCTCGTTGTGTAGTTACTCCAGTTTGATGTCTCCTTTGGCCATTGTAGCTTTCTCGCCGCCGTGAGTCTTCTGTGACTTGGGTTCTAGTGTTGCTAGTACCACTGCAAATGTTCTTCTCCTCTGCACACTCCCACCTGCCGTTACAGTGGCACACACATCCTCGGTACTGCAAGCAGCCTCTGTCTAAGGAAAATTTTTCATTGGGTTTGTATGTGTTCCCATCTGCATAACATTCCCTGCAGTTATAAGGGTTTGGGTTAACATTCTGCCTGTGGTTAATGGAGTGTGTTCTGTCTCTGGCCTGGCTCTGGGAACGGATGTCTGTAGCAGCAGACGTGGACCCTCTCTGTGTAGATCCTCTCTGTGAGGCTTGCGTGTTGGTTAGATAGGCGGAGTAATCTTGTCTATTTCCAGTCTCCGTCACGGTCGAACTGACAGTTTTTTCCAAACGACGGTCTCTCTCCTCCTTCAGCTGACACAGATTTGTGGGGTTTCTGTGATCACATGACCAACGACCGTCACATCCACATTTACAGTTGAACTGATAGCACCTTCTCTTGAACAAAAATGTAGAATCTCCTGGGTAGATGCTGGTACCGATCTTGCAAGCTTTACACTTTTGACGTGTGTCTCGAGGAGAGGAGCAGATGTTGGTGGTGCGATCTGCCGGGCACGTCCAGCTACCGTCACATTTACACATACACTGGTATCTGTTGCAGCCTCGCTCTATAGAGAAGCTGGTGTCCGTGTACTGCTCAGTGGCCGACACCCTGCACGGCTGGCACCGGGCTCTCCTCCCTGGTTGAGGACGTGGGACAACCTGAGTCGTCTCGACGCCCGCTCCACACACTCGTCGGGCGGTTCGACCGGGGCAGCTGTAGCTCCCGTCACAATTACACCGACACTTGTAGTGGATGCAGTCCTTGACCATGTCAAAGTCAGACTCTCCGGGATGAAACTCGTTATCGGACACCTGACAGGACCGGCATCCCCCTGGTACTTCCCCTTTGCATACATCTCTGGCGTCTTCACCGGGGCAAGACCAGCTTCCGTCGCACTTACAGCTACACTTGTAGTGGATGCAGCCTTTCCTCATATCAAACACGGTGTTGGCCTTGTAGTTCTCAGTATCAGAGACTCTACAAGAACGGCAGCCGCCTGGTACTTCGCCTATACAAACGTCCCTCGCCTGTTCGGCCGGACACTCCCAAGTTCCGTCACAATTACACCGGCACTGGTAGTTTAGACAGCCTTTCCTGTGGGAGAAGTCTGACTCCCCCGGGTGGATGACACCCTCTGAGATCACACAACTCCTACAACCTCCGAGCTTTTCTCCATAGCAGACGTTCCTTGCTTCTTTGCCTGGACAGTTGTAGCTCCCGTCACAGTTGCAGCGACACGCATAGTGCACACAGCCCTGCTCCAGCACAAAGTCCGACTCCCCTGGGTACTGCTCTGTGTCTGACACGACACACTTGTTACAGTTGTCTCTGATCCCCACTTGACACGTGTTCCTCACGGTACTTCCTGGGCAGGACCAGCTTCCGTTACAGTGACAGTTACAGGTGTACTCCAGACATCCAGTCTTGTGGGTAAAGACCGTGTTGTTGGGGACTATCCGGCCTTCCACCTCGCACTCCAGACACTGATCCGTGCATACCCAGCGACTATCTTTTCCCGGGCAGTTCCAGCTTCCGTTACAATAACAGTTACAGTTGTACTCGATACATTTGTCCACCAATTTGAACTGGCTATTGGGAGAATGCACCCGGCCGTCGTTGGCTTTACACATGGAGCAGGCGCCTTCATTGGAGGAAGATCCTAAACAGATATCTTTAGCCTTGTTGGGGAAACATTCCCAGCCGCCGTCACAGTTACACAGACAGTCCGTGTATTGGATGCAACCGTCTACAAGGTCGAAGTAGGAGTTTCCGTTGACAACTTTGCCTTTGGCATTACAGGTAGAACATTCAGACTCGGAGCGACGGGATGGAGCAGTTCTGTTATTTCCTACGCAGATGTTCCTGGCAAACTGAGATGGACACTCCCAAGAGCCATCGCATTGACAAAGACAGTTCTTGTACTCCACACAACCGTCTGTCAGTTCAAAGTAAGAGTTTCCAGTCACGATTTTACCTTTGGCATCGCAAAAACTACAGCGGTCGTCACGCCTGGAAACTTCTGACCCAGTGGATGTTGTGCCTGTCCTCCTGTCTGACGATGTTCCTCTTGATGTGCCTGTTCCCCTGGATGTATCGATTCTGGAAGAGTCGGTTCCGGAAGAGCCGGTTCTGGAAGAGTCGGTTCTGGAAGAGCCGGTTCTGGAAGAGTCAGTTCGTGAAGAGTCGGTTCGTGAAGAGTCGGTTCGCGAAGAATCAGTTCTGGAGGAGGTCTCACTGCGCGTAGAGCTGGAAGAATCCGTGCGCCGTGATGTCTCGGTACGCCTTGAGGAGGAAGAGGCAGAACTTCCAGAGCTGGAACTTCCCGAGCCAGAACGTCTCGAGTCAGTCGTACTTGTCCCGTTCTCACAGACATTGCTGGCGTAGCGACTGTCACAGTTCCAGGATCCGTCACACCGACACACGCAGTTACGGTAACTGGTACAGCCGTCCAGGACATCAAAATAATCGTTACCCTTGAAGTATTGGCCGTAAACGAAACAGGAAGTACAGCCGCTCTCTTGTGGCTTTACAGGAGCAGTTTTGTCGTCGTTGCCAGTGCTCCCCGTCTCGCAAGCGTTTCGAGTAGCATTAGAAGGACAAACCCAGGAACCATTGCAATGACAGTGGCAGTCTCTGTACTCTATACAACCGTAACGCACTCCAAACGGTCTATTGGGTGGGTAAGTTTTACCGTATACGTCACAAGACCTGCATTGGTCAGAGCCTTCAGAAGTGCCTCCGCTTTGTTCCCCTCTGTTGCTCTGTCCTTGCCCCGGGGCACAGGTGTCTTTAGCGCGGCTGGCCGGACATTCCCACGAGCCGTCACAGCGACAAATACAAGCTTCGTATTCTATGCAGCCGTCTTTCAGCTGGAAGTATTTATTTCCGGGGAACGTTTTCCCTTTGACTTGACAGGACTGGCAGCGAGATCCTACATCATAACCCTCCCCGCCTTCACACACCTCTTTCGCCCCGCTCTCAGGACAAGACCAAGATCCGTTACAGAAACACTGGCAGTTTCCGTAGAGGATACATCCGTCCTGTACCTCAAACCTTTTGTTGGGCTCAAAGGTTTTATCCCTGATCTGACACTGCTGACATTTCTCTGTACCCTGTCCAGATCCTGTGGTCACAGATGAGCCGGATGACGAAGACACGGACGTTTCTTCAACCCCTCTCTTTCCCTGGTCATCATCATCACAAATCTTTTCTGCAAATCGTTCAGGGCAGTTCCAGGAGCCATCACACCGACACGCGCAGTACTTGAACTTGGTGCAGCCGTCCTCTAGCTCAAAGTAGGAATTGCCTTTAACAGTTTTGCCTTTTGCAGTACAATTTTGACATCCACCTCGGTACCTGCGTCTCCTCCTCTCCTCTGCCGCCGCCCTCCTCTCCTCTGCCGCCCTCCTCTCCTCTGCCGCCCTCCTCTCCTCTGCCGCCCTCCTCTCCTCTGCCGTCCTCCTCTCCTCTGCTGTTCTCCTCTCCTCTGCCGTCCTTCTCTCCTCTGCCGTCCTCCTCTCCTCTGCCGTCCTCCTCTCGGAGCTAGATGAACCAGACCCTCGGTTACCTTGGACTCTTCGACCACCAGACTGATTGTTCCCCCTTCTGTTGTTGTTGCTCGTCCTCGCAGTTTCCTCTCTCCTTTCCTCACGATGTGTGGTAGATGTGCGGTTTTGGCTGCTGCTGGTTTCAAACGTCGTGCTAGAGCCAGAGCCAGTGCCAGTGGTAGAGCTAGAGCTGGAGCTAGAGCTAGAACTAGAGCTAGAGCCAGAGCTTGATCCAGAGACAGACGAGCCCTCTCCATCCTTACACAAGTTCTGCGCTCTCTCAGCCGGACATATCCAGGTACCGTTACAATAGCAGATACAGGCGTCGTAAGAGAGACAGCCCAGCTGGTGGGCGAAGTAGGAGTGTCCTGGGTGAGACTTTCCCTCCACCACACACGGCGAGCACTGCCTTCCCCGACCTCGTGACCCCTGGGATGTCTTGGACCCTTCTGAGGAAGATGGTGAAGACGAAGATGTGGAAGAAGAAGATGATGATGAGGATGACGAAGAGGAGGATTGCGAAGCCGAGACGGCTGACGAAGAGCCACCTTCGGATGTAGTAGAGGAACCCGCACCTTCACGTCTCTGTCCCTGTCCGTCACAGATATTTTCGGTGTAGACCGAAGGGCACTCGTAGGAGCCATCACATTTGCAAACACAACGGAACCTGGAGAAATACGAGGGAGTGGGTAGGGGGAGGAGGGGATGGAGAGGGGTGAGGAGGGGTGGAGGAGATGGAGAGGGGTGAGGAGGGGTGGAGGGGATTCAGTGGTGATGGTGAGATGGGCAGGTATCCCGTAGTGGTGGTCATGTGGC